TCAAAAGCACTTATTTTCTCAGTGAGGGAATAAGCAACAGTTTGACATCAGATTTATACTTTAGTATACGTAAGTGATAAAGTATAAAGTACAAGGCCTTCAGTGCCCTTTTGTGTTTTGTAAAAAAAAAAAAAAAAAAATACTGCATAGCAAAGAGGTTAAAATGAAACTTCCATTTTAGATACAATATTGAGAGTTTGTCAGTTCCAAATGAAGACGAAGCACCGTTAAGCATCTTCAAACAAACATATAGTGGTGCTTTGTTCCTTAATGAATCTGGACGAATTGGTTGAGTGAATAATACAACGACTCACTTATAAAAGCAGTGCATTTATCATCTCAGCTGTCTCATTTCAGAACGATGTATGTGTAACCGTTATAAAAATGTACTATGAGGTGTTAATTACTGCAATTTCTTTCTTACTTTGGAATGCAATGGATGCTTTTCTGAAATGAGATCCTCGATGACGTATGCGGCTGAGAAATGCGACCTGCGGAGGGTGAAGAAGTCGAAATGAGACAGTCCCTTGTTTCGTTCGTGAATTATTCAATGCGTTTAATCAAACGATAGGATAGCTGCAGGTCATAATGGGCTTGCCAAAAGGTAGGGGCGTGCTGAATGGTGCACAATGCTACAACAGAAACTAACCCCTAACCCTATACCCCACACCATAACAGGCAGCTTTCGCAACCAACCATTCAAGTGAATGTATGTTGTAATACTCCATGTGTTCCTTATCCCCTACAGTTGCTGGGAAACTTAGGTTTACTGTATCTAAAATTCCCAGAATACTCTGGGCCCCAACCGACCTGTCAACACATTCCTAAAGCTCCATTCACTCTCTAATTGGCTATAATACCATTTCATCCTGGCCCTGATTGGCTCACTTCTGAAAGTTCTGAGGCAACATAACTTTACCAGCTCTGTTTACATGGATCCCGGGTTGCCATGATGACATTGATGGTTAATGTTGCAATACAGTGGGAGTTTTGACAGGTCGGACATATTTTTATGTAACTGCTCTTTGTTGATTGATTCTGACATTTCTTCACACTCTGATATTTTTATCTCTCAGATTCAGGGCAGAGAAATTGAGGTCAAAGGTCATGCTTTACAGGCCAGAATGTCCAACAGGAAGGAAGTCTGTATTTTATAAATGGTTGAAGGGAAAAAGATAACGTCAGGTCTTTATATTTTGCAATGTTGCCACAGGTTAGTGAGTACAGTAGCTGTCATATCACCCCTTGTATCCCAAACCGGTTTTAAATCCATCGTCACGTTATCCTGGCATGTCAGAGCACAGAACGGCAGAAACTTCTTGTAGTCATAAAATCTCACAATATTATCATCGTAATATGAATCCAGTAGAGACAGAAAGACCTTTGTTTTTCAGCACTCCCCATATAAAGAAGGAAAGGGCTTTATGACGATCTTTCATAACTACTCCTGCCTTTGGGGACAGCGTCGTTCCAATGCTTCCTTTGTGTTGAAGGCTTTAATTGATCAGGGTTACGCCATTGAAAGTAAACAGAATTTATTCTCAGTTCATGCCGCTGCTGGTTTAAACATGTGAGTGGCTCATACACTAACTTGAAAATGAATGAATGAATGAAAGAAAGGAAATAGAGAGCAAAATAGATCTGACCCAGCGGCCTGGCGATGTGACCGTTTCCTGACTCCAAAATAATACTTCATTCACAGACTAAACAAGTTTCCCACAACAAAAATGTACTGGGTCATTGCTGGTGTTTTTATTCAGTTGCAGTATTTTTGGCTTTTAAAGGGGCTATATGTAGAATTCAGAAACCCTTGTTATTAGCGACACAGGTGGCCATTAAGTAAACTGCAGCCAACAACTTATTGCTGTTGATCGTGTCTATATTTGTACAAGCTCTGCTATTCTCCGGCATCATATCAACACATGAGGTCATTCAAATTACACTGTATAGTTTGATTATAAAGTATATTTGAAAACATTTGACCATACTTTCATCATTTGTTTGTCCTATTTTTCAAATTTATTTGTATATTTGATTGTTTATTGAAAATCAATCATAGAACTGTTATTACAAGTATCTATGATAATCCAATCAAACAGAGAAATAATCACAAACAATTTAAATATTTATTGCTTCAATTATTATTAGTATTTTAAATGACCATTTCCTCTGTACAGATTTATTTCATAAAGATTTAAAATAAAGAATACGTTTACCATGATGGAGATGACAGAATATATGACAGAATAAAATGAATATTATAAAATAAATAGTTTTAGAGAGTTACATATTTATTTATGTGTTTTTCTCTTTTCTGTGGCGAACGAGGTGTTTTCAAACCAGCACAGAGGGTTTGAATGTTTACAAGGACCCTCCTTCTTATCTGCATGTGTTGTGAGACGTGGTTGCCAAGAAGAAGAAGACGGAGCAAAAAAAGTTATTTGTTTGATTGAACCCTCCTCGCCCTTTCCCATTTGCTATTGGACGTGAGAGCAGCCAATGAGTGGGTGGGGAGGTGGACTTCCTGTGGGCCAACTACACGGGCCCCACATGTAAAATATTCCTGACCTCTCCCATGGTGTTTATTTTAAAAAGAAAAAAGGAAAACGTTCCCCATCATTAAGGAAAACACTGAGCCTGTGCATGTGGTATTTGGACGCTTGCCTGGTCTTCGTTTTACTGTGCCGTGATTGGTGGAGAGGATTCCGTTTCCCCCCCCCCCCCCCTACAAAACAACCTCTTCATATGTCGCATGTATGAAGCATGCATGTGTGTTCTGATGTAGATAAGACATCTGCCCAAGGTCATGTGTATGTAGATGCAATCTCTTCCAATCCACATGTCTCTAACAGGTCCTGTAGACAGTGATAAGGGAACGTTAGGAGAGACAAGATTAAAAAGAGCAATCATGAAACAGGAAGTGAAGCGCAAATGTTAAATTGATTTTGAGATTTGATAGAAAGGATTGAAGGGTGTAAGAGAGATAAGAAATACAATATGAGCAAGAGAGGCTGAGGATAATGATTTTTAATAATAGTTTAGTGGGTTGAGAAAAAAATCTACATGTATCATCAGTGTTTATTTGGCATTAAAGAGGGCTACATATTTCTGTAATGTACTAATTTTAGAAGACATGTTGAAAAGATATTATTTTTATAATGTAATTTTTTTCTTAATTTATTATTATTTTTTAAATAATAAATTATATCATGCAAACAAAAAAAGAAAGAAAGAAAGAGAAAGAAAAAGATGATTTAAATATCTAGCGCCCCCAGGTTGTTTCAACAAAAAGAACATTGAAGATTGAGAGATTGATAGTAAAATGCTGCCATCTATTGGTAGCTACAGTGGTCAAATTCATAAAAGTCAGTGCATTCATTCATCATGAAAAACCTTAAGAATATTCACATCGTTTTTAGTGCATTTCATTAAACAGTCCATACATTATGTTAGCCATCACCACAAACATCAAACATCCATGTAGAACACAGACTTTTTTATATAGTTATATTATAGTAGCCTGGCATGCCAGACCTACATCAAGATGTTAGGTCTGGGAACTCTCCATTGACATGCCTCAATCCGAGGGGCGGGATAAACGGTTACCTTTCAAAATCCCTCTGCACGCAATAGGATAACGCTACAACCAACCAGAGCAACGAACGGTTGTGGATGAGTGAGTCCCATAGAGATGGGATTTATGGCTCTTTGAGGAGATCCGGATCTTTGCGATCCGTTCCTTTCAAAGAGCCGTTCAAAAGAACGGCTCTTTTGGCTCTTTTTAAATATTTAGTCAGTTTAAAGAAGCCAGCTTGGGGGAATCTCAGTTTATCCTGGAAATAATCACTGGGAGGAATGATGAGGTGAGATTTGTAGTCAATTAATTAAAACTCAGATATCACACACCAATATCTGAGTTTGAATTATTCTGAAATATTGATTATTACCTCATTTGTCATGTGTGGACTATATTCCATAGGGTTGCACAACATCCCTCTGCTTAGAAAGTGATATCACTATTTTGGATTTACCTTTAGTACAAAGTATGTGTATGTGTAAAGCTATGTTGACTTATGTTATTCATACAATACCACAAGAACATTTTGATAAAAAACAAAAACAATTTAAAGTTGTAAATATATACTGTAGATACAATAACATGAACACAAAATGCAATGTAAATAAATACAAAGCAGTTCCTTTGTATTTATTTACAAAGGAACTTAGTGTTACTTTAGTGGGTTTTTTTTTTTTTTTTTTTAACTGGAGTAACCATGTGACGGCATAAGTCATTGGCTCTGCTCCTACCCAATGACAGCACGTAGGGTTTTTTCCCACTGGAGTACTCACGTAAAGGATGCGCGCGCGTGCACAACTATCATCATGCTGTTAGGCAGTAGCACCCCTGCGCTGGGTGCGCCCCTTCCCCTATAACTGAGGAGCTAATTTGTGTGCATCTGTGTGAAACACGCATGAAAAAAGAACGACAGAAAGAACGGCTCCCCTCCAGCCGCGACTCGGCTCCCATCGTTCATGTTTATGAGCCGTTCAAAAGAATCGGTTCGTTCGCGAACGTCACAACTCTAGAGTCCCATGCGTTTTTCCACCAGCGGAGCTAATTGATATATTAAACTTTTGCCGTATCAGGACGGCAAAAATCCGAACACATCTTCCTTTTTTAAGAATGACTTAAGTGACGTTCTCTTAACTCGTAGCCTACTGTAAATTAATCATGTAATTGTGTCATGCAGACCTATATTCAAAGGTATTTTCAACTTCTTCCTACTTCTAAACAAAAAACCTTCTCCGTGATATATCAGGTCATTGAATCAAGTCCTTGTACGTCACAGGCCTACTTACTGGCTGCAGTTCACTTAACGGCCACCGGTGTTGAGTGGTGCTAATAACACCAGTTTCTGAATCCTACATAGCCCCTTTTAATTTAATTCAATAATTAATTGAATGTAATATTTTAAGTTGAATTGATTTCTCTCTGTCAGCCCGCAGAACCTCTCAACTTGAACCACTATGCCACTAAGAAGAGTATAGCAGAGAGCATGCTGGATGTGGCGCTGTTGATGGCGAACGCCTCTCAGCTGAAAGCCGTGCTGGAGCAGGGCCCTGAGTTCAAGTACTTCCTCACTGTCATCATCCTCATCGCTGCGTCACTCTTCTTCCAAGTGCTCGCAGGCGCGCTCTTCGTCAACATGGGTGAGCGTGAAGTAGCCTACATCATCATGCACAAAATCTGTCAGGGATTTTAAAGGGTTAATCACAATGGATTTAGTCATTCCTATACAATCTTTCTTTTTCAGCACGCAAAAACCTCAATGATGTGGCCAATCAGAGGAAGCTGGACATAATGAATAATGTGGCCACAGGGCTGGTGTTTCTCACCGTCATCATCAACATCTTCATCACCGCTTTCGGAGTGCAGAAGACAGGTCTCTATCCTAAACAGTAGCCTGAACTGTCTGTAAGATCCTTGGGGATTCTGCCTTGACATGTGAAAGAAATATATCAAAGTTGAATATGCATGCTAAGCAAACTGAGTTTTAATCAAGCTTGTGACTGTTTCTTTCATGTTTTTAATGGTTATGATGAAAGTCACATCCATTCATGATAAGACTTCCTCCAGGCTTTGATATTTGATATTTATAAGACACGATTATTTTAAAGTCTTTTTTAAATTTATTTCTTAAGAGGGCATTATATTAAACAGTCTATAAACATTCATTTATCCTAGACTGTCCAGTGATTTTATATTACCTAGAAGCAAAACTTAAATAACATGAATGCATCATCTAATTCATCCTCCTGACATGTCATTTGTAAATGTTAATCATGAAAACTAACAATAAATGTTTATCATGAATTACTGTTTGCCATCCAATTTACTGTATTTATATAGATAGATAGATAGATAGATAGATAGATAGGTTCAGAAATCATTATATGCTGATTTGATTGCTGTTCACAATATATTTATCATCATCATCATCATCAATGCTGCTTGCTTAGTATTTTTGTGTATTTTTTTTTTTTTTTTTAAATTTGAAAAAGTTTAACAGCATTTCTTTGAAACTGAAATGTTTTGTAACATTATAAATGTCCTTACTTTCACCTTTGATCAATTGAATGCTTCTTTCATCTTCTACAGGAAAAGCTGTACTGACCTCTAGTGGAATATATATTTATATTACACTAACAGGCAATTGGAAACAAGTAATAAAAAAACAACAACGAATAAATCACTTTCAGGCTTTAAATGTTAATTAAATTTGTCTTTTGGATTTATGTACACTAACTAAATCAAATATATATAAATAATAATATTAATAATAGGTCAACATCAGTTCAAATTATGATGGCTTATAAATAGAATTGGTTCAGTTGCTTTATTTCATTGTTACATTGCAGTTTGAAAATGTTTTCAGTAAGAATGATGGTGTAATTTACTGACAATGATAATCTGATAACTCATCGCTGTGTTAAAGGAAAGAGACAGGGCTAGTTTAAACTGTTCTAGGTTAAAGAGACAGTTCACCCAAAACATTTCATTCTTTCATCATTTACTCAAGTTGTTCCAAACCTGTATGAATTTCTTTCTTCTGAACACAAAGGAAGATATTTTGAAGAATGTTGCTAACCAGACAGTTGACGGCACCCATTGACTTCCATAGTATTTTTTTTTTCCATATGGAAGTCAATAGCTACCGTCAACTGTTACCAACATTCTTCAAAATATCTTCTTTTGTGTTCAACAGAGGAAAGAAATCCATACAGGTTTGGATCAACTTGAGGGGGAGTAAATGATGACAGATTTTTTTTATTTTTGGGTGATCTATTCCTTTAAGGGAACTGAACAAGAGAGAACATCCTGAACCTGGTCATGGGTCTATGAAACCTTTTCCTGCAGTCATGCTTCAGTTTCTCAAGCAGAAATAACAGTCAAACCCCAAATTACACACAGAAGACCAATGCTGGAGGAGGACTTCATCGTGTGGGTATACAGATATATATAGGCCTATATGTGATTTATAATGAATAAGAAATATTTAGGTTTCTGCACTATATGTCACTAATCAAATAAAGCAAACTTGTGACACTGACCATGTGAATTCACTTGTATGAAATGTAAACTATTTCTTAATAAAAAAAAGACAAAAATAGATGCTGCTGAAGCCCACTGAATACAACCAGCACATCATCCTCTGTGTGGTGTAGAAGCGCTCGTGCACGGTCATGGAGGCCAGTGTCGGGAGCGCGCATCCCGGTTCGTTACGTCACTTGAAGCGCCCTGGCTGCCTGGTAGATCTGGCAAAGAGAGGAAGAAAACGACAGAAGTACTCTAAAACAGGGCTTTCCCCGCGGTTATCAGCTCTCAAAGTGATAACGGTCCGTCTACAACACTAGATACAGGCACAGCCATCTCACCAAACCGGACCTAGCTCTTGTGAAATAAGGTAAGGAGCTTTTCAAAGTGAATTTCCTCAGCTGAAGAGTCTGAACTGCTCGGACACAGCCCATTGATAGTGTGGGATTACGTGGAGATATATCTGTATATTGCACACTAACGGTCTATATGCGTTCTATGTGCCCAGACAAACTATAGGGAAGGTAAATAAACCTGATATTTCTCAATATGCGCACGAGAGACAGATAAAATAAAACGCTGTTGCGCCAGCAAGCAATGGAGGAACAGGGGGAGGGAAAAGAAGAAGAAGAAAAAAAAAAAACACATATTCCATGTAGGAGAAGGAGCACAGGAGTCTCTTTCCATTCTCTGGTTTATGAATCGACATAAACAGACAATCTGGACACTGTTGTGTGGTGAAAACCGGCGAGAATCCGTCCAAAGCTTCAGCCTCGGCGGTGTGAAGCTTCTTCAAGTAGAAACCCATGTGCATTTCACACTTTCATTTCTGATTTATTTGCTTTTCCCTCCGTTGAACACATTTAAAGCGTTCGCGAAGCGGTTATAAAATATTCGTAATAAGTCTCCTCACTCTGTGTGACGTCAGCGGGAAAATATGTATCGGTTACAAAATACCTCAGACGATAGATTAGAATAGTCACAAAGTATCTGCTCACTGGGGAAAATATTTACCAAAACTCCAAACGGAGCAGTTGTGTTTATTATTGAGCAAAACAAACCCTCAAACACAACAGTATTGTTTAAAAACAGATGATGTTGTTATGTAGGACCCTGCAGTTGAATCGAGTGTCATTCCTTACGGATTCTCGTTAATGTGATTGGCTCCTCTCTCTGTGTATATATATATATATATATATATATATATATATATATATATATATATATTTGATAAAATTCCATTAAAAAAATATAATGAAAGAACTCTTATTCCTCCATAATGTTTTTTTTTTTACTATTCAGTTTTTATTACTTCATGTTAATTGAGAGGATACATGGCATATTTGTACATTTTTGTACTTCATTTTTGTATTCATTCTTTACATTTTTAACATAATGAAATTAAATGTATATAATTGTCAAACCCCATGACTATATAAGTGAACTACAAAAATGGCGATTAAACTATTTAAAACTTTTTTTAAATTGCTTGGACCCTTTTTGACTAAATCTGTACAAAACCTGAGATTTTTTTTTATTATTATTTGCATTTTAGGGTCGTTAAAGTATTATAAATCAGTCAGATATAATGATTCAACAGGTGTTTTTCAGATCAGTGTTTTGAGTCCTTTCGTAGTTGATTCAATGGAAGCCTGTGTCTGTCTAAATGTCCCCCCATGTCTAATAATCACATGACATATCACACATATTCTGCTGTGAAAATTGTCAGTAGATAGACCAACAGTGATTTGATAAGCACTCTGAGCAAGAAGTGCTTGCTTGCTTTCTCTCTGTTGTGTGTATCTCAGCAGTTTGTTCCCCAGTTGCAACATTAGGCCTATGTTCAATTTACTGGATCAATCCTGTGTATCTGTGTTTGTCAGGGTTTGAATGGGCAGCTTGTGGCAGGAAATTGAAATCAAAGTCTTAAGGCCTGTGTATACTTCATTTTCCACGTTCCGGCTCGTGCACAGTTGTGTCCACATAGCTTTCAAAGTGTACTCAATTTCAGATGAGCGCAAATGGATGCGCAGTGCAATTGCTTTTCTATACTCTACCAGACGTCAGAGAGCAGCCCTGAGTCGTGTCTTTTACAGGACATTCGCTCGGAAGGATAGAAGAAAAAAGATCCGCCATTTCAGGCAAAGTTTAGAACAAGAAACAAAACAAAAACAGAACAACTGTGTGTATTGCCATGTCCGTCCATCCATCCATCCATGCATACATACATACATACATACATACACACACACACACACACACACACACACACACACATACACACATAAATACATACATACATACATACATACATACATACATACATACATACATACATACATACATACATACATACATACATACATACATATCAGATCAGATCAATATATTGTTGGTCTATTACCGATTTTAATGCTGCGTGTCTTTATCATGCAGTGAAAATACTTCTGGCATACAGGGTTTGACCTGTAACTCCTCAGACCTGGAACTATCCCAGAAACAGTGATGGACACCTGGTTTGGATCATATCTGCTGTCTGTTCAGTGATGGGAAGATCTAAGCACGGTCTAAAACCATCTTTAGTGGAGAAAATGATAGGTGCCAAAAGCGAAGGTGTTTGTTTTAATAAATTGAGACATAATTATCAAGATGAACTGCTGAGATTAGGGTGTATATGATTGACCTGTCTCTCCTTCTGTGAGAACTAACCTGGTCCTTATGTTTATTTCATCTCTGGAGGGTGTAAAACACGAGGAATACAGGGAGGGCGACTGCTTCTTGGATACTGAGACATGCAGGGAAGTTTGTCTTGTGTCAGCGTGTACCAGCATGATTTCGTTTCTCAAGGGGAAGGTGTAGTTCGATAGTGTTTTGAGGCTGATGAAAAATGTATTTTTACTTTTGGATGTGGACGTGTTATGCAATCTGGTGTGCTAAAGGGGTCATATGATACTTTTTATTGTTTTCCTTTTACTTTATGTAATGTATCTGTTTGTGCATATATACGATCTGCAAAATTTCACAGACCAGACCTGCCTAAAACGCCTTGGTCGAAATCCAGATATTACTTTCTCAAACGTCCACGTCACAATGTGAAATATTCGCATTCATATTATGAATGTCCATTTTTCATACTGCACATAATGAGGCCTATTATTTTCCTGTTGCATTTAAAGTGATTGATTTGAGTTTTGTATTTTATTTTGAATTTATTTAGTCAAAATACCATAGAATATTAATATATGTCATTTATCAATTATTGGCCATAACAAAATAATTATTGACTTATCTATATCAGCCACGATTTGAATGTCTGCCCATCCCTATATGTCAATGTGAATTCTTATATTAGCACAGCATGCTAATTAAAGCAGCGGCACCATTTTCATGAGTGACATCACCCCAGTTGTGTGTCCTCTGCTGACTCTAGCTGTACAAATCTCAGCTTCCACATTTTCATGACGTCTTTCACAATTACACATACCTGCACATGCAATAGCGACTCAGTGACTGAGACTGGAGCTGTCCAGATAGAGAGAGCCCCTCGTGTGCTCAAAGCCCATCTTTGACCTAATTAACTCATGCAAACAGATGGACAGACCAGGGGCCTGTCAGGCCAGAAGAAAAGCACATTCAACACCGGCTCTCTTGTTTCATGCTAGCAGGTCAGAACTGGAGATGAGAATTGATTCGTTGATCCCAGAGGAAGATACAGCCAGTTAAAGCTGTGTTTGCTGAAGAGTTTGTAACAACATCTTTGGCTTACAGCTCTAAAGCTGCAGGCATGTGCAACGCTAATGTTTAGCCTAATACTGAAAGCTTTATAGTGGTTCTAGCTAAGACATGCAATTCTATTATTACTCTGTCTGTTAAAGTGCCCTTTTATGCTATTTTAAAGGTTCCTAATTTCAGGGGTCTACTACAATAGGTTTACATGCATCCAAGGTAAATCTGATCATTTCTGATAAGATACATTGCAGCATCACCTCTTTTCTCACAGTGTCTGAAATTCTTCGAAAAAAGGATACAGTCTGATTGGTCAGATGGCTCAGTCGGTTGTGATTGGTCGACCGTTTACACTACAGCATGTGTCGGAAATGAAACACCCATTACCAAATGAGTTCCTCAACACTTTTGTGATATGAGCAGTAATGATAGTGTCTGTTTTTACTGTATCAATTTCAGCGTGAGTCCTCAGTTATAACTACAGTGTTTGAGGGCGGGTCTAAGTATTCGTTGTTCGCCGTCAGCCAATGAAGACCACAGGCTGGCATTATGCAAATTTGTTACAAACCTATGGTTCATGCAGGAAGTAAAACTGGAATTACTGACGACTCATTTCAGGCATGTCAGAATTGGCTCTTTCTTTTGGGAAACAATTACTCAATTTATTGTGTGAAACTTTGGAGACCTTTTACATTCATAAACACTATTACACACCACATGAAAGATAATAACCTAAAAAGCATAATAGGGGCACATTAAAAAGGGGTAGACATAAAAAACCTGACGATTTTTGCAGTAGTATTTACATTGACACAAACACGGCATGATTCTGAGCCAAATAATCCGATGTGAAAGAGGCAAGGCAGGTGGAATCAAACTGAAGCAATCGAGCAGTACAGCTACAGCCTTGCAGAGACTATGTTTAGATCCCGTTTCTGAGGAGGTTGGTGGACCTTCTACCCTTGCTGATTCTCCAAAGAAAGTTTTAAAACGGTTCACCACTCCTGTTTCCTTCATCCTCCTGAAATCCTTTTAGCTGATTTACAGAAGATACAGAACAGACAATACACAAATTTTTTTTTTTTTTTTTTTTTTTTTTGAGCTGATTTTTGAGTAAATAAAGCAGCCAATTGGTTCTCAATACAGTTAGTAAATGTGAGAACATTAGCCGCGTTTCCACTGCCGGGCCAGGGCTGGGCCGTGCTAGTGCGTGCCAGGGCCAGTCGCGTTTCCACTGTCACTTCCGGGGCTTGATCGGGGCTTACTCGGGGCCAACGGCCAGGATTTCTGGCCCGTCGAATACCTTGGGCCAAAGCGGGCCAGCTCGGGCTAGAGGAGTGGTTACGAACAGAGGCAGGGATTACCTGAGTCGAGAGACAGGAGCGCCGAATGATTCTGTCAGCATTAAAGACTTTTAAAATAATTTAACTCACTTTCATGTTTTAATGCCTTCTGTTTGTGATCCGATGTGGATTCTGATCACCGTATAAGGTAGAAATATTTATACGCGATGCAAAAGAATATGCGCGCTAACCATTACCATAGTAAACATAGTAAACGCTTGAAGATACGCATAGTAAAAAAACATGGTGAACGCTTGAAGAAGTCAGACCAATCATAAAGGCTATCACAATCATGTTTTTA